CCTCCACGTACTCGCTGAGGTTGAGCTTGACGATGCCGAGCGAGATCTTTTCTTCCCTGCCGCTGCCCGGGAACTGTTGCAGAACCTCGAATTCGACGGGACACTCGGTCAGGTTGTTGTTCTTGTCGATGCTGATCCGGATATGGCTGACGACCTTGGAGTAGTTATACTCAACCTTGTGGTTGGAGATCGGGCATTGCGGTGTGCGGCCGCGGTGCTCGGCGTGGATGGAGTGTGCGAGGTTCCATTTTACTATTGATGTCCCTGATACCAACGGGACGTTGTTCAAGTCGAATATCTGGAGGAGTTGTCAATAAGATAGATTCTTCGCCAAGATGCAGCAACTGCCGTGTCAAGAGGGGCTCCCACCTTTAGATGTAGCTCAAACTTTGGCTGCGTCAAGTAACGTTAGCTCAAACCGGTTCGCTGAGTGGTCACCAACAACGGCGCACATCCTCCACTTTTGGGGGATTGACTTTCCCACAGCAGGATGGTGGGCGCGGAGAGGAGGCATTACCTTTCTGTTCTTATTGACTGTGGGCAGGAAGCCCCCGTTAGCCATGCTCTTTAGGGGACTCATTTTGAGCGAGTGATTCGCTCACGCTCAGCACAAATGATAATGACGGAGACAAGAGTAGAAGCAAAGTGAGGCGGGGACCGAAAATCCCGGGGCCTCAACAAGAGCTGCTTTCAAGGGAGAGACATGGGAATGATGAGATTGTTGATTAGACAGCAAAAGTGAATAGGATAGGTAGGGCTGGATATGAAAAGAAAAGGCCACCAAGCTCTCTCTGGGGTTGTCTCAGTGAGATCTCGGCCTCATGTGAGGTACGGGTGAGCAGAGGGCTAGGCAACCCACGTGGTCACAAGGAATGTGTACGTTTAGGTGAAATAAGGAGAATACAATAAGGACAACAACGCCGGCAAAAAACCAGCTCGACATGGGACGGATGATGGAGGAGAACGAATCGGAGAAAGGAGCAAACAGAGGCTTACTTAAGGAAGCCATGTTTCATGGAAGGCATGGCTGGTTGGGTTCCGTCGGGGCCAGTAAGTTAATAATACCTGCGACCTCTGGTGAGGACCGCGCGCCTTCGGAGGTAGGTAGATACCGTAAGGTATGTAAGAGTGCGCGGGCGGGCAGGCAAGCAGACGGCAGTGTGCAAGGGCAGGCAAGGCACACACATACACAGTCGTAGTCGCAGTCGCAATCACAGACGCAGACGCGCAGGAAAGTCCAATAACACGAAGAGACTTGTCCCTTCTTGTCAGCGACGCTCGGTTTCGTTTCGGGACAGCCGGATAATACGGTGCTGGAGGAGCTGTGAGAGGGGCAGAACCACCAGTAGGTACGGCTAATAGATAACGGGATGCTGGTACCGTGCCGCTGAGTCCAGTCTTCCTGAATTGTCCGCTGAAGGAAAGGCTTGAGATTGCATGCGTGGTCAGCGACCAATCGCCGTCTATCTGACAGTGCGTCGTCCGTCCGCGGGCGTCGATAGAACGGAAGCTGAGAGCGAGCGAGAGAGATATGGGCTTGAATGTATTGCGGCAAAGCGCAGGGGGTGGTCAGGAATTCGGCCTCTGCGGGCGGAATGACTCAGCAAGCAAGGGTCCTGCTGTCTGTAGATGTTGGAGATGTCCAAGACTTTGGGACAATTCTCAGAGAGTTGAGTTGCTTTGAATCAAGTCGTGTGTTTGTGCGTCGATGCTCTTCCTCTTCTGATGATGAAAGAAAGAGAGTTTGACTTTGGACAGGGTCGAAGGAATACGTAACTCCGTCAAGTGCCACCTGCCCCAGCATCCTAGGCGTACGGATACCGGAACCGCTATAGCGGCATGTGTCTGGCCCGAGTTCTTCAATGAGCCACAACTGGATCCTCGGATCCAGCAACTACCAGCCTGCGCCACAATAGACTTCGTCGTCTTATATGACACCCAGTAATTAGTCCACACATCGTGACAAGTTGCATTTGATGCCTCTTTGAACCAGTGTCTCGAACACCTTTCATCAGTGTTTTCTTGCACAGTTGCATTGTCATCGCAGCATCCTTCTTCTATTATGGCACCTTAGATCTTTGTCAAGGGTGGCTCTGCCATCAGTACCCAAGCATAAGGGATGCCGTCACTGGAGCCAACCATCTGCAATCCTCCGTGGGCAACTGCTAGCTTTTCACGTCTAGCCAAGGTCAACACCGACTGGAAGGTCCGATATTTCTGCCTGCTCTAAACCAGATCATTGTTTTCATTCGCGCTGTACCTAGTCTGCCGCAAAACCTTTGGAGTATACGTACGATCTCTTGGATCTCCTCGATGTACACGACCGACGGCATGGCGCCGTACTGTCAACTTTCGATATCTTTACGATATCCTCAATAGCAAGACGTTGTATTACCCGAAGGTCTAGATCGATGCAGTATAGTCAATCTCTTACGTAACGCCCGTTGACTTTTCATTCGGCTCTTGACCTCACGATGTCAGTTAGAGGCATGAGCCACATATCAAGCTTTCCCTGGTCCACTCTCTAGCCTTGTCGTTATTACTGAGCAGCCGTTCGCAACGATTCGACACTTTGCGAGCATTAGTCAACATAATGTACACAGTTTAGGTACACGTTACTCATGCTGTTCCTCGAGCTTGCTGTCACCGAAGTACAGTGATTTCAATCCAATAATCACGATGCAATACGGGATTGTAGAGGTATTTCGTGTCCGGCGGAATCTATAGAAAGTGAACTCAAGAAACCTCAAAACGGTCGGCGAAGAACGACGGTCCTTATCAGCGTGGTAGGTACTTCGCCAGGACACAACTCCAGACCCCAGTCTAGTCGGGAAATATCACGATCAAACCCCCCAAACCTGCCGAAGACCTCAACAAACCTAAAATCTGCAAACACAAACTCCCGCAATTCTCGAGATCCAGCAGCCAGTCAACTCCCCACCCGAAGACGAGCGAAAAAAAAAAAAGAAGCATCCAAATGGACAGGGGTCAAGGGGCTTCACGATATGTCTAAACTCTGATTATCCAGGCACACAGCACGGCGAGCCAGTGATGATGCCGTCCAGTGCGCTTCTCCAAGGTGGTCTCCAAACATCACCAGGGTGCAGCCCTGTCCTTTCCGGGTGCTCCCCCCTCAGAGGCTGCCGGAACAGGCCGACATCTGCGTCAAGATGAACACTCCATCCCGAAAGGAAGGACAGAGTAACTGCAAGGACCTGATAGACAAATCATGAGATTTCGGGGCAGCTCGCAACTCGCGATGAAGTGTGCGTACCCGTATGAGTATGCGTCGTCCGAGACAAGATAGACCACCACTACCTCACCCCAGCCATCACGCACAACGCCCAGGCCTCAAAGACCATTCCAGACCCTTCGTGAAACCTCCCGAGAAAGGCGCCTCAAAAAAAAAGTTTTGAACATTCGGCCAAGGAACTGGAGGACGACTGGGGTCACGCCGCACCGGGGCGCGCTACCCGTTCACCCGTTGTCGCCCCCAACAGCGCGTTCTCTCTGCGTGAGACACGACGAGCGAGAACCTAAGAGGGAGAGAGAGAGTCTGAGAGAAGTGTGACGCAGTGCAGCGCAGTTCTCCACACAAACTCAATCAATATCCCAGTCTCTTGAGTTCCCGCCCCCTAGCAGCAGGAGAGGAATTCCCCGAGCCGCATACGTCATGGCCCTCTCATCCCAATCTCCATACAGCGTAACAGCACACACCGAAACGCCCAGACGAACGATGTCATCTCTTCACAGGAACCTGTTTGGAGGGGGGAAGGGAGCGTATGGAAATGAGACAAGCCGCAATGACCGCCACAAATGCTATCTACGGTACGCCCCAGCAGCCACCACGTTTTCTCCTTGGCCCAGAACGCTTGTGGCTGGGGCGCTACTTTTCTCTGTTGTCTGGTTTACGAACTGCACCATGACATGTTTCCCCAATCATTCGATGGAACCACGCAGCTTAATGGGACATGATGAACGCCGACGTGCAATCAAACTCTTCGACGCAGACTCGTGTAGCGAAAATCTTCCTGCGGACTAACGTAAGGTTACTGATAGTGTGGAGGGGGAGCCACCCAAAACGGGCACCATTCACACCCTAACCGTCCAACGTTTTTGTCCAAACGACTCGAACTGGTCGCTCCTTCTGGACGGCGCATTCGCTCCGGCCCTGTGAGATGTCGTCGTGTGATGGGGGATCAGAAACCTTGATGCGGCCGGGGTGTGTGTGTACCGGCGTGTGTGTGAGTGGGTGATCACACCCCGTCTCGAAATTCTCTCTCTCTCTCTCTCATTTGAGATAGGAAATGTCTCTCCCTCGGCCGATTGGTTTAGAGACAATACTGACCGAATTCGCCTATTGAAGGAATCTGAGGGAGTACATTTGAGAAAAAAAGACTGGGGTAGGAGTACATAGCTCCTTACCTTACTGTAGGCGAAAGGGACGGGGAAGGGAAAAAAAAAGGTGATGTATCACGGGAGATTACCACATTGACGTCACCATGCGGTGAAGCACTTGCACGCCTCGCACTCTCTCCCTCTCCCACAGACTCCCAGACCACACCTCCCCCAATTCTCCTAGCGCTAAAACGACCCGGAAATTAGGGTAATGTGTGATACGATACCATGCCTTACCGCTGACCCTGGAGGTACCTACCTACTGGCAAGATGTAGAGAAAATCGACGATGGCGGGGGACGCGGGTGAGAGGATGTACCTTACTTTCGTAATGGTGTCACCGCTCTGCTGTGATGTAAGGTGTGTCTCTTTGTCAAGTCACAAGGGTGTGCCTTGACGTTGCGCATTCTAAACTGCTTTGCCGTTCAGTTTGTATATAAGACCCTTTATCCTTTTCCTCTACCACATCTTCTCATACGATCTCATCACAACCAAAAACACCAACAAACAAACCACCAACAGCCTTCGAGGTTCCTCTCCAAACACATCTCACAACCAAATCACACACCTCAACCAAACCCAAACAACCACAACACCGCGAAAATGGGTGCTGTCGTCTCTTGTGTAAGTCTTCCCTCTAATTTACATTGGCTTGTAAAAAGAACGAGACTAATTTCTGTTCTGCCCAACAGGTTCAATCCGTCTTCCGGACCATCGGCAACTGCCTCACCTCCGTCATCTCAGGCATCGGAGGCATCCTGCACGCCATCATTGGCGGCATCGTCTCTTTCTGCAACATCATCATCAGCTTCCTCACCTGCGGCTACTGCGGTCGTCGCGGCAGCGGCGGCGGACGCCGCCACAAGACTACGACTAGAAGTCGAGTCTAAGCTGACTCTTCTGTCTTGAAACATAGAGAGATAGATGGAAGGGGTTGAGCCATGATGATTCGAATTATTTTCGCGATTATGCAAACGAACGACTCGGAGGAGGAAGGAGAGCAGGGAGAGGGAATGGAAGAGTAATGGAGAGAGCGCGACGCGATATCAGCTTTGACAGCATACCCACCCACGAGTTTTCTTTTTCCTTACGATACCCAGATACCAGTAGCTTAGCTTGAATGGTATAACACGATATCCACAAACAAACAAAGCTTTTCACTGTGACATTGAACAAATCTGTAACTTCTTTGGCGGCTGATGGTTGAACGGTATCAAAGTCGGCCGATTATCTCGAAAGATTGCTTGTGTCAAATGACGATAAAAGACATCGCCTCTAAAACGTCGACCCGACCGAGTTCGAAATTTGCATCAATTGATGAACTGTTTATCATGATGATATTTAATCTTCTAAAACATTACGGTTAAAGAACCCATAGACTTGGCGCCCAGATTCCTTCCCAATCATCGGCTCAAGCTCCCTCTCCGTCAAGTTGGCCACCTCCCTTATATTCTCCGTCGCCAGCACCAGTCGCATAATATTCTTGGGATTGATCCCCGGCACGGCGCCCAGCATCTCCTGCGGCTCCAGGTTGAAAGCCTGGTCCTCGGCCTGCATATCCTTGTCGAGCCCGGCCCGCACCGCGGCGATGGGATCCGGCTCATCCTCCTGCGCCTTGAGCGACTCAAAAATCTCGGCCGTCTGGTAGGGCGAGGACGACCAGATGATGCGCAGCTTGGGGAACGCCAGCGTCAGCAGGACGAGCTTGGACTGCAGGTCCGACGACGTATTCGTCGGCGCGATGCTGTTGAGGCTGCCCGACAGGTCGGCAAAGGGCTCCAGGGTGAAGGACTTGTTCTGGTCGAACTCGATGAGGAGCATGGCGCTCTTGTAGTGCTGGAACATGGTCTCGCACTGCGCGTAGAGGCGGCCGTCCTTGAAGGACGAGATGAGATCGGAGATGGACTTGCGCTCGACGCAGATGTTGGGCGAGAGGACGTAGTCGCCGACCGTGAGCATGCAGGGGACGATGATCATGGACCGCCCGTGCAGGAGCGACGGCAGTGAGGAGCGGAACTCGCGCACGTCGACGACGACGCGGGGCGGCTGCGCCGTGGCGGCGAGACGGCCACCGCCGGCGATCCTGGTGTTGATTGTGCGTAAAAAGGCCTCCTGCGGGTCCTCGGCGCCGTGGGGGTCGACCGTCATCACCAGGGACATGGACGCCCGCTCCTTGATGAGCTTCGTGAAGGCGTCCTTTTCGCGCCGCACGCTCGACAAGTACCGCTGCTCCTCGACCGACTCGCCGTAGTACATGAAGTACACCCGCACGTTTCTGTCGTTATGGGAGGACCGGTAGACCTCGACGCGGCGGATGAAGGCGGCGTCGGGCTCGTACATGATGATGTACCGGGGCTTCACCTCTTCTAATACGTGCTCGTCCTGGTCCCCGTCGTACGCGTGGATGACGACAAGATCCTGCATCTCGTACAGTTGGAAATAGTCCTCCATGTTTTCCAGGGGGTCGGTGACGATCTCTGGCTTTTGATCCGCTTCCTCCTCTGTGATTTGTACCTCGGCCATGAGGTCTTCGACATCCGTGGGCTTTTCAAAGAACTGGAGGATGCTGCCATTGTCGGCTCGTCCCTGGGCCGTTCCCGCCATACCGCCGCCTCGCATGCGTCTCCGCTTGTTTGACGGTGCCTTGCCCCGAAGCCGCTGGCCGTTTCTATCCGTGGCGCCATTCAGAGCCTTTTGGTTCTCGGAAAACAGTGTAGCGTTGACCTGAGCGAATTCCCGTTTCCATCGCAGATAGTTACGCAGCTTCCGTCTCATCATGAATGCTGCGGATGCCGAGTCTTCGTCGTCGTCTTCTTTCGTTGGGTCTTTTTCGACCTTTGGCTTGAAATACATGGTCTGCAAGTAGTCTCGAAGCTGTCTACAAGTGTTTGTATCTCCACACATGATGAGGATGGTGCCGTTGGAATCGTCGCGGGCCGGTGGGTCAAAGTGCATGCTGTTGTCAATCTCTGTCAAGACGTCCGCCAGCCAAGCCCATTTCGGTTGTTCTTCGAGAACAGGGCGGAGCGAATCAATGTTGGCGTCTGCTGTTGCAGCTTTCGCGCTGGCGGAGTAGACTCGACGCCGCGCTGTCTCGAAGATGGTCTGCGCTGCATCAAGGAACAACCAAGGGGACTGGTTCTGCCTCGTCGACCCCGGAGGCGGTGAATGTGCCGCATGGATGGTATCTAAATGTTGCAAGAATGAGACGGCGTCGAGGGAGAGAACAGACGAGAGCATGCCCCGAAGGACGCTCAAGTCGTTGACGATCTGTCGAGTTTTCCAGCTAACTCTATGCCAGTTAGGGTCGAGCTGCCTTCTGATGATCACGTCAAAGTTCTTATGCAAGGCGCTGTCGAGGTTCCAATCCTCCATCTCCAGGCCCGTGTTGCCCTTCTTCAGCTCATGGATGCTGACTTCAACACACTCCAGAATGGCGTTTTGGATGTCTCGCATGGGCTCGCTCATTGAGATGTTCAACTCAATCACTTCTGCCGTCTTTTTGCCCTCCAAAGACTCTGCTACCGTAACGTGGAAGCGTGGCCATAATGACGCCTTTCTCAGAAAGAGATTCCTCATCATGGTGGTCAATGGCGAGAAGCCGGTCGAAAATGGATCGGGATTATCGGCGAATGCTTTGAGAAAGCCAGCCTTGTTCTTCTGTCGATAGATTCGCAGAATGAAGGCCTCAAGCGATGTAGCCACGACGCGATCGGCGTGTAAAACAATGAGGCCAGTGACTTTCTCGGTGTCGAGGAGATTCGTCAAGAGGTCAACGACGAGGATGCGCGAAGTGATGCTAAAGATCCCTCCACGAGTATACATCTTTTCTCTTGCGCCGACACTGGTGAAGTCGGTGTTGACGACCGTGAGCCCCCTCGCGTTGGGCGACTGGCTGATTGCGGCATGCTCGGCCAGCGCTTCTCCAATCCAGTTGTTTTCGCGATCCTCGGCCCCAACAAGGATAATCAGGTTGTTTCCTGCCGCATCATAAGAGTGAAGTAGGTTTGTAACGAGCCTCATGAGCCCCAGCCCACGGGCGAGGACGACGAGCTCATCTTCATTCCGCAGCTCCTGGAAGAGGCTCTGTTGGTATTCCTGGCAGGGTTTAGTTTGGTGAAGCACATCAAAATTGAGTTGAACGACTTACAAGGGGAAGGGAGAGCTTGACCGGCTGAGCGTTGGTTGACATGGTGCATCGTGGCTGACTGTGAGCAGCACCAAGTGTGGTTGAAAGCTACTTCAATACATTTGATTGATCATGGCTGGATTCGGACTGAGGTCACCACTAAAGTTCCTGGCCACTATTATACAGTGCTGCGCACAGTAAGACGCGCCGGCCGCTGCGGTACTCATTGATCGACTCTCACTGTACATTCTCGACATCCAACTTCAAACCAGACGTTCAACTTCAGGAAGTCAGTTGGTGATTTACAATGTGGGTGCTTCTCTATATTCCATATATGTAGCCATGTAGAAGTTTATTGCACTACACTGGCTTCTCTCAGAAGTAGACATCGTCAACCGAATCTAAGAAATTACTGATGAAGATATGGTGCAAACGCTAACATGTAAGCTTAGAACGTACCGGCGATGGGTGTTAGTCCAGTCACTTGCCGAAGACATGGCTGGACACAGTCGAAGCAAGTGCCTGGAGAGTCTTACTCGGAATCTCAACGATGACCAAGATTATCTGCGGCTCCGTACTCTATCTTACTTCACTTGCATACATGCCTCCCCCTGCCCATTGGCCCCTAGAATCACCTCGTGGTCACAAAAACAAGACATCTTGAGATCTTCAACAGCAATCCTGCTTAGCGCCAACACCGCATCGAATCGACAAGACTCGGCAACGATCACTGGCAGTTACAGCCGTGGGGTTATGGGGCATGGCGTGCTTGTCACTGGAAAAGCCGCCGTCTTCTGTCAAGATTTTGGTCCCATCCTCTTGCACGTTAGCGGCCCTCGTGATATGCACGTAATTCGCCAGTGACGCGCAGAGAGTCTGGCCAGCATCTGGCCAGCATCTTTCCATCCAGACACGCCAAGATCAATGGCTGCTGAAGGGGCCCGGCTACGCGCGGTACACGCAGAGAGCCAATCGCACGACCAAGCAGACATGCGCCTTTGGTCTTTGCATAGGAGGCCTTCCAGGTAAGCGGGGATGTTGCTCGCGGGGTTGTGACTGCCTCTACCCCTCTGCGGGCGGGACGACGTCATCGGCCGTCGCAACCTTCCACGTACCGCAGTGACCTGCCTCAACTCACATGTAAGCCACCCAGCAAAGATAGTTTATAAACAGCCCATTGTCCTGCTCTTACAACCTGCCTGTTTGACCATTCATCAAACTATCGATCCATCAAACTACCAAAGACACTTAAAATCAAACCACCCAAACAATCAGACATCATTCAAAATGGCCGACAAGGTTAAGGAACTCGTCAACAACATCACCAAGGGTGACGTGAGTAGCATCTCCCCCTCATAGACACCCACCGCAGCGAAGCTGACGTCTTAATTAGAACTCCGAGAAGGAGAAGGAGTTTAGCACTCAGCCCATCAAGGAGGGTGGTGTCGACCCCAAGTTTGCTGCTCACCAAGCGCACCCCGGCCCTGCCGTGCCCAAGGACTTCAACGCCCAAGAGGAGGGAACTAAGGAGGAGCGCCGAGCCAAGGCAGAGGCTTTGAACAAATAAACCAACATGACAATCAGGCAGCATCAAATGTGATGCGTGGCCTTGTATGACCAGTTACGAATTGTAGACTATGGGAAATGGCAATGGAAATGGACCAACAAACACGGAGACTCGGGAATTGGTCGGTGGATAAAGTCATCTTAATACTGCCAATGAATTCATGAATCAAATCCCACATAACCTGACACCTTTGATTTGGCCTGGGTTCCCTTGGCCATCAAAAATCGCGCTGTTGTAAACATTTTGAAACGCTGCGTGCAATGCCTCCTTGCTGTACAAATCTACAGTGTATTTATGCTGGATCAGAGGGTGTATTCCACTTTGGAGATCTAACAGAGATCGTCAGCATGCCTCCATTCCTGTGCTAACCCTTGCCCGTTGCCGGCGCCTTCGGGAAGCAACGATGCTACCTTAAGCCTTAAAGTAGGTAGGTACCTTACGCTGTACGTTGCGCGTCCCACAATGACGACAGACTTCCTCTGCGTTCCACGTGGCGGTGCAAACACAATGTGGCTGGTGCCTGTGTTTTATACGCGGGAAGGACAACCCGACAGCGAGAGACCGGGGCCTGAGCAAATGACCAGCCGCCCGAGCAGCGCCCGAGAGAGGGAAACATCCCAGCCAAAGTCCACTGAAACGAACGACTCAGCCACCAGCCCGCCGTGGCCCAGGGCCGGTTACGAGTTCCGTCCAGCCCACCTCACTCGCCAACCTCCGCTGGGCCGCGTAAGTAGGTACTGCGTAGGCCCAGTCTTACCAGTGTCTTTGGGCGGTCACTCTGTCCCGAAGTGAGTCCAACAATCGTACGCCATTTTATCTCCCATTCAGTCAGGTCAGGTCCCAGGTTTGCCGATTATCCATCTCATTCGCAAACTGCACGCACGCACACCACATCATCTCACATACAACCACCCGGACCTCATCCTCACCCTCACCCGGCACAACCTTTCTCCTCCCTTCAGCCTTTCCGCAAGCCCAATTACATGGTATTTCAGGGTTCCCCCGTTGAGTGATGCGAGTCCACATTTCATGAAACGCCCCCGGACCCGGAAGCTCTGGCATCTTTGACCACAAGCTTATCACTCTCCCACGCAGCTTGCTTTTTGTCGGACGCAGAGTGGCTGCCTCACATACCGCATTGCATAGCGAAGCATCGTCCCGATACTAGCTGTGCCTTACCTGCTGTATACCATACAGTGTACCTTGCTGTCTCCAATACCGACAAGCGACGGCACTTGGTTGACTTGTCTCGGGGTCCTTGTCGTCCTTGCTACCTCACCTTACCTGCCTACTGAAAGCGATCAACCCACGAAGCGCCATCCCGAAAGAGGAGGTGTCTGTTTGCCCAGCCCATTCACCAACTCCTAAGCGCCACTTTCCATCGCCTACACACGCGTACAACCCAAACCACCACGACCAAAGGTGGCTGTTGCCTCCGCTGCCGCGGCTCCTGCAAGCACACGACCCATACAACCACTCCACCTCGTCCCAATTCCAATTCTACCCTGATTCAACTACATACGAACAACGACACCTCACCCAACCGATCCCACCGAGACATCCTCCCCTCCCCTCTCCTCCGACGACCCCTCCTCCTCTTCCCGCCGCCGCCGCCACCATGCCGTCGATTTTGAGCGACGATGACAAGGAGACGGTCAAGCGCTTCGTCCCAAAGCAGACCAACAAGATCCAAGCCGTAGCCGTTGCCAGGCTGTATGCTGCTTACCCCAACCCCGCGAGATGGACAAATACGGGAATTCAGGGTGCCATCGTCCTGTCAAACGATCTCGTCGGCAACACGTACTGGCTCAAGATGGTGGACATTTCAGTGAGTGATTGATTGCGCCCTCGGCGCCTCATGCAATTTTGGCTGACATGTTCATAGCCTGAAAACCGCGGTGTCATCTGGGACCAGGAAATATTCGACACGTGGAGCTACAATCAAGATCGCACCTATTTCCACAGCTTTGAGATTGAAGAATGCCTCGCCGGCCTCTCCTTCACCGACGAGAAGGAAGCCAAGCAATTCAAGAAGAAAATGGACGATAGAGAAAAGAACGCAAGCAGAGCTACGAGATCGACACCATTCGGAGGAGCCTCCCAGGCTGCCGCACATAAACATGGTCTTCTCGGAGGTCTCTTCGGCAGCCGACATGCTGCAGCGCCTACCCCTCCCGACTCCCCGCGGTCGAACCTGCCACATGGCCGTATGCCTTCTCTGAATGGCGGCCACAAATCTTCAGAATTTGCTGTTCTTGATGCCTTCGACCCTCAGTGGCGGGAGAATTTCGGTCAAGATCTCCGAGATAAGGGACTGACGGATGAGTTCATCAAGGAGAACCAAGAATTTATTGTCGAATTCTTGAAGGAGGAGCAAGAGAAGCTAATGGCTGGCGCTCGGAGTCATGCTCCTCCTCCCCCTCCTCCGCCAGCACCGCATTCAAATGGCCTCGAATTAAGAAACGGAAGAGCGCCTCCTCCACCGCCTCCAGGAGGAAGTCATTCAGACGGCCCACGCTTACCTCCACCTCCGCCCGCACCAAGACGCGGCGCTGCGCCTGTACCGCCGCCTGCTAGGAGATCTGGAAAAGCAGATGCGCCTGCTGTCAACAGAGAACCGACACCCCCGAGCGAGCCTCCGGCGCCAGAAGCATCAAGGAGTCGATTCGCAGTACCGCCACCTCTACCAGATGCCGGTAAACTCGCACATGCTTTGGGAGGTTCAGTCAACGCCATTCGTGGTGGGCCAGCAAACCCTGGACCACCTCCTCCGCCGCGACCACCCAAAACACCAATGCAAGAGGAAGAAAGGCCTGCTGGACACAAATTCGGTGTGCCGCCCGCGTTTTCCGGGGCTAGGCAGGGCCCGCCACCTCCGAGTCGAGGACCTGTCCCGCCGCCGCCGCCCCCACGTTCGGATGGCCCGCCACTTCCTCCGAAAGCTCCGGCGTCAGAGGCACCACCGTTGCCGCCCCCGTCTTCACGACCGGTGCCACCGCCACCCGCGCTGGGCAGTCCGCCGCTGCCTCCTCCCCCACCGCCGTTGCCATCATCGAGTGCTCCTCCGCCGCCGCCTCTGCCCACCTCACCGCCACCTCTCCCAACATCGAATGCTCCTCCGCCTCCGCCATTGCCGTCATCCAATGCTCCTCCAGCACCTCCTCTGCCTCCGTTAAACAATGCGCCGCCTGCGCCTCCTCCGCCCCCTCCCGGAGCAGGAGCACCTCCCCCGCCGCCGCCACCTCCGCCACCGGGAGGCCTGGGTGGACCTCCCCCACCACCCCCTATGCCCAACCGAGACTCTGGGTACTCCTCTGGCGTTCCCGTTCCTCAACCGGATTCTTCGCGCTCGGCTGTCTTGGGAGATATTCAGAAGGCTGGTGGTATCAGGGCTCTGAAGAAGGTGGACCGGAGTCAGATCCGCGACAGAAGCAATGCCACAGTTGGTGGCGGTAGTGACAGTGGTCCCCATGGAAGCGGCCTGCCTCCAGCCGGTGTAGCACCTGGTGGTGGCGGTGACATGGCCAACGCTCTGGCCGCTGCCCTCCAGAAGAGAAAGGAGAAAGTTAGCAGAAGTGGTAAGTAAAGCCCAGCACGTCTTGATATTGTACCGATGCTGATACGTTACTAGATGATGAGAGAAGCGACAACGACGACTGGTAAGCGATGCTCTAGTCGGGTTCGAGGGATGTGTATGAAGGACAGCCTTCGAGTCATCGGACCGGTACCGCAAGTTGTGGCCTAGGCTTCTCAGGCGGTTGGAAGCAGTATTACATCGTCGTATTCGATTCTTGGCTATCCGAAGCGACAGCTGCACAATTAGGGATTTGGCGGGCGGGTACGGTCAAAAAGCATCACAGTTCTTTGGTTGGTCAACCCCAGGGTGCTAGAAAGATGCCTAGCATATCCGCATCTGGAGTACGGCAGTTGGGTAGAAATAGGACCATCTTGCTTTTGTAGCAAAGCCCGCTGACCGCATGTAAGAAATTGGAACAAAAACAAAATTCAAATGCATTGCGCAGACTCCTCGTTCTGGTGACATGTCACGTCGTAAAGAAATTGGCAAGCGTGATGTGATGAACATTTGGTACGCGGCGCAAGCCACTGACCAAAATGGATTTAATTACTCAAGCGCAAGTAAGGAGGTAAGATCTATCGTTCTGATGATTTGACAAGCCATGACGTCTCTCCCACCATGGCCCGTCCAACGCACCACCCTTGACACCTTGACTGTCGCGGAACCCTACAGCCGATGACACAATATTCAACGGCCGTGTGGTTTGAGAGAGAAGACAGCGTTCCCACCTCTCGCCATCTAGCGGCAGAGGAAAGATGGGTTTAAAATGAGAAGTGGGAAGGTTTCGGGGTTCTAGACACTCTGGCAGCATTTTGTTGTGAGTGTTTGGAAGACGAGAGGCGACATTTGTGCGTTTAAATGTCATCAATGTCAACCTCCTTCTTGCCAGCACCACCAGCGGCGCCCTCGTCCTCGCTCTCCTCCGAGTCGCGGTCGTCGTCAAACTCAAAGTTGCAGTCGCCGTCGCCGTCGGCGCCGTAGGTATCCGTCTCGTTGATCTTGGCGGACTCTGGCAGCTCGCCGTAGGCCTTGAGGGAGCGGGCCTCGTCGGCCGTGTACTTGAGGATGACGTCGCCCTTGTCGTCTTGGTACTCGCGCAGGGAGAGGAGGATGATGTCGCCCTGGTTGATCCAGACCTTTTTGCGGAGCTTGCCGCGGATGTTGGCGAGGCGCTTGACGCCGTCGAAGCACTGAGCTTCGAGGCGGCCGTTGCCGAGCATCTTTACGACTTGGGCGTATTCTGTGGGAGGAGGAGAGGTGGGAGGTTAGTTACGAATGCGCTTGTGTTTGGTGATATGAAGAGACTATGGTATGAAGTGGCGGTGGAAACGCGTCTGATGGTTTTTTTTTTTCTTTCCGGGTTGGGAATAAGTGGTGAACTAACCTTGGCCATCCTCCTTGAAGGTGAGCTCACGCTTCTCGTGGTCAGACTCGTTCTTTCCACGTCTGCGGTTCTTTCCTCCCTGTTTTGGTTGTTAGTCTTCATGATCGGCCATCTTCTTTCCTCATCTCCAGTGGCATCATCAACAACAACATCATCATCATCGTCAATGTGCGTCGTGTGTATGTCGAACAATAGCATGGAGGGGGCGGGGTTGTTGGCGGGGCGCGCAACTAAGCAGGGGGAGGGGTGGTTTTGTCGCCGAGAGGGAAATTGTCTTTTTTTTTTTCTTCTTTTCGTCTCTTCCTCCTTTGCGGACTTGACAACATGGAAATGGGGGGTAACAACTTACTTTTCCCTTGTTCTTGGGCATCTTGACTACTCGTGAGAATTCCGGTTCTCAGCGGTATAGGTAGGATGTGAAGGGGGGTGGGTTGGTTGGAAGGGGGAGAGAGAGCGAGATGTCGAGAGGAAGTGCGAAAGTGGGCGGTGGGCTTTATTGTGTGCGTTTGGAAAGGCGCCCCCCCGGAACAAAAAATGGTGGTGCTTTTTTGGGCTTTGGGCTCTGAGAGTCGAGTGTGGCTGAGGTGTGGTGGGTTGCTTTTTTGTGCAGGTGCGTGTGCAGGGCAGTGAAGTGAGCTAATGAAAGTTGGAACAGGGGGTCCTGTCGCTGGGGATCTGGAGGCTGCTCTCTGCTAGTGTTCGGGTGTCTGCGGTGTGAGCCCAGGTGGGTTCCTTTCAAGTGGGAAGGGGCGAATGATGTTGAAACGGACTGGCTCGGTTTTTTTCTCACTCTCTCCTGCAGTGCAGATGAGTCAAGTGGGGTGGCATCTTTTTGTGAGTTGGTCACCGTCACCAAATGGAGAAAGGTGTGTTGTGGCTCTCATTCACTTGAGCGTCACGGTGTGTCATTCACCAATCTCCATCGGCCCATTGAATTCCATTCCATTTGCATGAGCCACAGCCGATGTGCCATTTGTGGCACCAGTGATCCACTTCAGAATGGTCTAAGCTTTCCTCGACTTACCTAAGCCATTTTGGGAGAGCTTCGCCTGCATCACTTCTTCGACAGTCGGAGCTTGCCTAGAAATTGCAGATCGCCAATTCGCGCCTCGTTACCTGTTGGAATCTAGAGAGCAGCCTCTATGAGATCGATCTGACCTATTGGTTATGTCATTCAATACCATCGGCGGAGCTTACGTGGAGTTATGAACACCCGAACGCCACCCCCGGCGACGACCATGCGATGATGCCGATACAACTTCAACATGTCACCAGCACGATGCGAAGACTGCCTCTTGGTACACCCATGGCGACACAGGCTGCTTGGTTCTCTACCTCCGGACGACGACTCGGTGTTTCCGCAATGAAGCCAAGATGGACAGAAGAAAGGCGTCGTCAAGAAAGAGAAAACAAGGATTATTGGGCAGAAGAACGTCACAGACAGCGCGAGGAGAAGTTGGAGAAGATCAAACGGAGGCTTCGTGGCGAAGACTTGAAGGCCTCCCAGGCAGACGCTTCGAAACTCCCGTCAGCGCGACAAACCAAGCCGCCCCCACACCCGGTTAACTTCAAGAAGCTATCGGAGGAACATCGCTTCAAAAGAATATTCCTCGACCTGGACATTGGGCTGGCCGCCTTGGACTACCGAACCGTTCATCTCCCCGGCGAATTGGACAAATTGTTCGAGCAGTTGAAGATACAAATCTCTCCGCGGCATGTCATGAGAAATTGGGACAGGGAGTATTTTGTTGAGACGATGAACGAGCATCCCTACACGGTTCTTTACAGGCACAAGTACGAGCAGATGAAGGAGACCACGCCGCTCTGGGTTTGGCTGTACGGTGTCACCCAGAACGGCGGCCCGGTCGTTGTGAATACCGCCAGGAGGACCATGAGGCGCGAGCTTCACGCAGCCCTGGAAGCCAGAGGCTACGATCCCGAGGGGCGTCTTCTCAGGCCCAAGAGGAACCGCACGGGGAAGGGCACTTCCTTAGAGGGCAACTTGATGGGCACGATAGCCCTCACCGCCAGGCTCCCCGCGGACGTGGTGAAGAGGCTACCCCGGACCGATCTACGGGCGGCGATGGACGTGGCCGTGGACCGTCTTATTGAACTCAAGGACGCGGAGCAGAACCCGGAGCGATGGCAACGTGGGTACGACGAGAAACTGGAGGAGAGAGCACGCAATCAGATTGAGCGGGAAGACGAAGAGAAGCGTCGTAAAGAGGAGGCGAAAGTAGAAAAGAAGCGGCGGTAGTATGGATGGCTTGGAGAGGAGTTCCAGAAGGAGGAGGTGCGGCGGGAGGGAAGACAGAAACTGGAGGAAGAACGATCGCGAATCAATGAGGAGGAGAAGCTCAGGTGGAAGGAGCGGAGGCTCAAGGCAACCGAGGAGAAGCGCCGGATCGAAGCAGAAAGGCCCCTGAATTCGGGCCAGCTCTGGGTATGAGAAGGATTTTTGTAATTGGAGAATGAGGGCTGTTGAGAGACGGCGACGGAAACCTTCATGGTGACAGCCTCGGCTGGAGTTTGTGTACTATAATTCTACAAATGATACCCCCAAATAGAAGCAATGAATATTCTCACAGATGGGGAAACGTGCCTTTGTTGCCGTGTTACTGATATCTCACGGGAAGTTGGCGGCTGTCTTTACATCACATAACACGACTTAGGAGAAAGAGATGATGCCAATGGGGATTTTAGACACTATTGCTAGAGTCCAAGCACATAGATGAGAAGTTACAACGGTTCGCAAAACGTCCATCATAATATCTCGTGAACAATAAGACAAAATCAATATGCTATTAATATTAAAGACTTGCGTTAGGACTGAGAACTGCGGAGAAGCACGGGGCAGGTACGTACCCAGCCACCTCAACTCCTTACTGCCCCGTCTCCGGTGTAAAGGGCAGGTTGCAGAGTTGTTGGCGACGAATCACATCGCTAGCGCAGAGCTGCCAGCCGAGACGTCTGGAGCTGCCAACCTGGTAATTAACTGTGACTGGCGTTTGTACCTCTCTCGATCCAGCATATGTGTCTCGCATACACAAGCATCGCTGGCAACAATCTCCTGCTCACCCACCTGGCCACCTCCATACCGAACTCTATCGCCCTTGGAACCGAGACAAAAGGCCTAAGGAATCGGCGACTGACCCTGCGCGATTGATCCCACCTTGCTCCCTTGGCCGGAGACGGGAAACACCAACAACCTTGCAATTACGTACCACGCTTCGAAAACCGGGAGGAAGCCTCAACACCAGCAGTCACAGTTCACGATGCTCGTCTCATTGACCGTCGGCAAGGTCGACGCCGGCGTCACGGTGCTTCTGACGCCGGATAAGCGTTTGGTACGTTATGCCCAATGCACTCTGCAATCTTGGCGGCGGTTTTCGAGGGAAGGCCGTATGGACCAAAGGCCTGGCGCCCTTTCCCCCGCCCTGGCTTCCATATCCGCTCATCAATGTCATCATCGCCTACTCATGAGATCTTATACTGATTCCAAGCTCCCAGATCGAGTTCCCGTCTATCCTACTCCCTCCCAACATCTCCTCCGGCAGCATCGTCGACATCACAGTCGCCCGCAACCTAGGCTCAGAGGCCAAGACCGAACATGCCTTCCGCGAGCTCCAGGACCGCATCTACTCGTCCTTTGGCGCCAGCTCGCCCACGACACCCGTCCTGCGCTGCCGCAACGCGACCCAGACCTCTGTCGTCCTCGAATGGGACCCCATCGAGCTCGCCACCGCCGATATCCTCTCCCTCTCCCTCCACCGTAACGGCCAAAAGGCTGGCAACATCCCCCGGCCTCTGCAGATGCACAGCACAAAGATTAGCGGTCTTGCTGTTGACACAGACTACACCTTCCACCTCGTCCTCCGCACCACCGCCGGCACCCTCAGCTCCGAAAAGGTCACCGTGCGCACCCACAAGATGACGGACCTCAGCGGCATCACCATTACCACGGGCATCATGCCCCCTGCCACCAGGGAGGCGCTGTCCGCGGCGGTCGACCGTATCGGTGCCAAGATTGTCGACAGCGTCCGCATCGACACGACACACTTTGTTACCACCGAGGGCCGCGGCCTGGCGTGGGAGAAGGCTGTCGAGACCAACATTCCCGTCGTGCGCCCCGAGTGGGTTGAGGCCTGCGAGAAGAACGGACGCATCCTGGGCGTGACAAAGTTCTACCTCGACGCCCTCAGACCCGGACCCTCGAGCGACGAACTCCAACAGACGCCTCAGCCGCAGCAGACACCACCGACGCAGAAGGAGCTGCCGACACCCCCGGCCGCCAGCACGCCGGAAGGTAACGGGGACGCGGCGGCCGCCGCGTCGTCGTCCGCCAAGTCGCCCGAGGTCGAGAACCCCCTCAGCAAGGCGGAGGAAGAGTCGGCTTCCGGCGACGAGGAGAAAGAAGCGGAACAGAAGCGGATCGTGGACCAAGAGGAGCAAAAGGTGCGGCTGGAGGACAAGGATGAGCAGAACCTCGCGCACCGGCCAAAGGAAGAGTCGGACGACGACAGCGAGGACGGCAAGGGAGACGAGGACAATCCGACAAAGGGGGAGAAGCCGGGCGTCTCTCCTGACGGGGCATCTTTCCAGGATGTAGCCTTGTGAGGCGGGGATCATGTTTGTGGTAGTGGTTGAGGGGTGAGGCGATTGGGGGTGGTTCGAAGAATGTTCTTTCACAGCACGGAGTTACCCAGAGATGTTGTCGTGTCTCGTGTACAACTAGCCGTTTCTTCACGACATTTATAGAATCAGTTATCATGGAATGATGACGATGCTAAATCTGCTTCTGTGTCCCTTTGATATCTCGAATGATTCCCTCACTCCCATTATGGAAGGTTCCTTTCGACTCATCTACGCCAACCAGCATCTATACCCCTCCTTCTTTTGATACAGATATCGTTCATACCACCCCCCTTCTTCACGGCAAAATCTCCTTACCCGCCCAGTCCCAAAACCTACCCCTCCCCTCGATCCCAACCTCCTCCGTCAGGACCTTACACATCCTCTCTACGGCATACTCGGGCTCAAACAGTTTCCCCTCGGGCACGGTATCCCAAAACCCTTGCGAGAGCCCCGTCTTGACGGTACCCGGATGATACGCAACGGCCATGGCCCTCTCGCCGCTCCGCGCCGCCAGCCACAGATCGAGCGACTTGGCAAGCGAGGTGACGCCGGCTTTGGAGGCGCGATAGCTGTACCACCCGCCCTTGCGGTTATCCGCCGTGGAGCCCACGCGCGCGGACATGGCGGCCCAGACGGCGTGAGCTGGGGGCAGGCCTCTTGCTTCATCGTCATTTGGGGACGTCGAAAACTTGACAGACTTTTTGGGGAGAAACGGGGAGAAGTGCTTCATGAGCATCATCTGCCCCAGGGTATTCACCCGGAACGTTTCCAGGGCGTCGTCGTAGTCTATCTGCGCGGGGCTCTTTTCCGGGTGCAGGATCCCCGGGGTAGCGAGCGCGAGGCGGAGGTGGTGGGTGGAGGACGGGAAGAGGGCGGCGGCTTCGGCGGCGGCGGCGGCGATGGTGGATTCTGAGGTGACGTCGAGGTTGATTACTTTGAGGCGGGAGGCGAGGTCTTCTGTTTCTTTTGCGGCTGGGGAGGAGTGTGATTGCTTGTTTTCAGAGGAGGAGGAGGAAGATGATGATGATAGGGAGGAGAGGATGGATTGCTTTACGGCTGTGGTGTCGGGGGAGCGGCATGTTGCGAGGATCGGGGCGGTGGTTGTGCGGAGGAGGTGACGGGTTAGGTGGGCGCCGATGCCGCGGGAGGCTGGGGCGACGAGGATCCATGGGCGGGACATTTTTTTGTGAGTTGAGGGTATCGTTGTGTTTTGGGGCTTGGTGTTGTGAGGGGGGGAGATTCGTAGTTGGTGGATGTGTTTTGTGTATAGCTTCAGTTGAGTGAGAGTGCTGGATGTATCTCGTGTAAGACACGATGGATATGAATGACTGTCTCAAGTTTGTAATTGACAGACACTACGCGATGGGAACTACAAATGACAAAACTTGGTTAAGTTAGGCACCTTGAGTAGATAGTTAGCTGCATGTCATCCAAGACAAACCAAAGAGATCCAGCTTCAGCCTTGAATTGAGTTTCCCAGCTCCACAAAGAATCTAGGTCAAAGACATCATGACTTTTGTAGCTCTAATACTGTGTAAACTAAATGAGGAGAAACGCTAGCTCCCCCCCCCCCCCCCAAAAAAATAATTGAAGATCAACCCCTTCCGGAAACGAGCTACTGCAAGGGTCCCGCACCCCATTAGACGACGACGTCATTGGTTGGAGACTTTTTGACGACGCCCCGAAAGATCTTGGGAGCTTTCGACCTCCATCTTCATCGATCTACATGGCATATGGTAGATCATAGGTATGTTGGGCGTTCTTCATCGGCGAGGCTGACTTGGAAAGTACTGTTTTCATGTCATCACAGCGCACTTTTTTCTTCATGGAATGACTAAGGAACCAGGTAATTTGAGAAAGCAAAAAAGGTATCTTTTTTGGAGTCTCATCGCGTCTTGCATCAGCAGCGCAGATGTATCCAATGCTCATGATATGGGCGTGAAATAAAAAAGGAAAAGAAAGAAGAAGAAGAAGAAAACACTGAACTGAAAATAGCCGTGAGCTCTGGGTATACTCACTTCACATCATCCCTCATCTTGAGATCCTGATCCTGAGAATCCTCGTCCACAAACTTCCATGAGAAAACACCAAATACCACACCACATGCTATCCAGACAAAGGAAAATGGTCATCAGATACCTTGGCTAGGTTGAGAAAAATACATGCCAGCCAATTCCCACGTCCGAGCCAAAGAAAAAGGGGTTCATCAATGTGACGAGAGAGAAAAAGGAGAAAGTAGAAAATGTGAAAATAGGGGGGGGAAAAGTAGAATATGAGGTCCAACATCAATCTCCTGCACCCCTTAAGTCATACTATAGTAATACTCTGTATCCGGCAAAGGCGTCTCCGCCCTCGGATCCGTCCGCGCCGCCTCAAGACTCACCCGCGAAGCAACCTGCAGCTCCCGAATCAGTGGCTCCATGGCGTCCAGACCCCCGCGCGTGATGAGCGGCTGCATCATCACCGCCTGGTGCCTACTTCCTCGGACCGCCCTGCCGCCGCCGCCGATGCTGACGCTGGTGCGGGGGGTGATATCGTGCGAGGTGGACGGGCGCCTCTGCCGGGGGTGGATGAGGTTGACAAAGTCCCCGTCAAAGTCGTCAAAGTCTCCGGCGCGTCCAACACCACTTCCTCGGATGTGGGACTCCTCGGACTGCCGCTGCCGCTGTGATGTCCGGGTGGTAGTGGCGGTGGTGCTCGTGGTATTCCCGCGAATACGGCCCGTCCTCCGCACGCGGACCTCGTGTCTCGCGTCGCGGCTGATGTGCTGCTCTTCGTAGACGTAGTCGTCTCCTCCTTCGTCGCCGAGACCGA